GCTTGTAGTGGTTCTAGGGTAATAGAATACTTTAGGATATCGGGCTGATTCCTATAGGGCAGCGCCTTCTCATAATTATTGGTCTATGGAGGAAGGAGGGGGGAGGGGGGGGAATGCTTGTAAGGTAGCTATTTCTCAGAATATCGGTCTATAGGGCGGCCTTAGCGCAGTTTTTTCTCAAGTATGGGTTTGTTGGAGGTCAGGGGAGGGGTTTGTGTACTTTCTGAACCGGTACATAAGCTTCTTATATGGCAATTATTTTTTATAAACATCGGTCTATAGGGATTGTGATTAACTTCTTAACACTTTGGTCTGTCATCGACCCATAGGGCATGTTCTTCCTATAGTTACCGGTCTACAGTGGCGCGTAGGGCTGTTATTCTTTGATACATTAGTTAGGACGTAAAGATATGTCTTAAGCAGCCTCTTAGCTTCTCTTGTTCTCAAAATATTAGCTTGTGGTATACATAGGGCGGTTGTTTCTTGAAAAAATAGTCCAAGCGGCTCTTTGGGCATTTTTTGAAGGTTGGTTTGAAGATTTGAAGAGCAATTCCTTCTCAAAATATCGGTCTATGCGCGGCCCATAGGGCAACCTCTTCTCGAAGTGAAGGACCGCAAGCGGCTCATAGGCTTCTTTTTCATGTGCAGTTTTTTTGAAAAATATCGGTTCGTAGGCAGCCCACAGGGCAGTTACTCCTCAAAGTAAGGATCTGTAAGCGGCCCATAGGGCATTTCCTTCTAATGACTGATCACCGTTCGCGGGCAGTTTCTTTCGTCTGTACAGCCCATACGGCTTCCTCGCAATATTAGTGTGTAGGGGGCGTGGCAGATTTACCCAGAATATAATATCATTTATAGTTGTTCAGAGGACAGCACTTTCTCAGGTTACAACTCTGTAGAAGGCCCGTAAGAAAGCTTTTTCTCGTGAAATACCGTTCTGGACAATTGTAGGGCAGCTCTTACGTATGTCGCTCTGTAGACGGTACGCTGAGCAGGGTTTATTTTTAAAAAAAGTGGTCTGTTAGCGACACGCAGGGCATAAGAACAATGCTTGTTTTCGCTGCCGAAATTTTTCGGGAACTAAAGTATGTAGCTGAGTTATTGTAGACTACATCGTTGTTCTGAGAATCGACTGCTTGGTGACTTTCAGTGAAGGTTGGTGGAAAAATTTGGCCCAAAGAAAATTTTTAAAAGGGACTCAAAAGATATCGACTATCAACTACGAGAATTCTTATATTTAGAGGAGAGTCAAAAGTCATTGATTAATCAGTTTCGTGTTGCCCACAACTGAAAGGTATAAAACGTAGGTGTAATTGTGTTGAGAATCATACGGCTAAATTGTTTTGCCCCAACCCACTTGCAAGCGGCCCTTAGGGTCGCTAGTCAATTTAAAACACCTCAGGCATGATTGTCTGGGTGACCTCATATCTTTAACTGTTCACACGCAAGCGAATCAGCAATCGATTTGATTCGAAAGCGCAGTTTCTGGAAGTAATGCACAATTATTTTTTGTAAAAGCAGATTCCGTGGAGAAATTATAAGTGACTGCGGTTTTTCTAAATTCTTACGAATTTCGTTTTTCTGAATTCTTATGAATTTCGAGCTATAAGCGAATATTTGTTGAAATTGGTTTTCGGTCATTCAACTGATGAGAGCATGAAATAATTTTGTTAATTGAAGCAGATTATCAAATGTAATGATGTATACCAGTTATTGAAATTAGTTTGCTTGAAGCAAAATTTGCCTAAAATGAAATCTGTATTTAGCTACGAGTAAAGTTTTAAAACTTAGTTTTCTGATAAAAGAGATAATCGTGTTGGTCATTTCAGCAATAATAATAGTATTTCTCGATAAGCTGACATCTTCTTGAACTGAACTTGAGAGTGTACAATAAAGAATATTCGATATAGTAACAGATGTGAATAAAGAGAACTGAAACACTTTTTCAAGCATTTTCGGAACAAATTCCTCACAGCTGCTATGAAAAATCAATTTGCACAAACCTACTAGGAACAAAAAACTGAAACACATCAAAAAAGAGCTTGCGAACTAATTTATAATGAAAAATGATTCTGAAAGCTGGTTTTCAATTCAATTGAAATTTTGAATTCTATTCTATATCCAAATTGCAGCTAACTGAAAGAGCATGAACGAAATATTAGAGTTTTCTGATAGTCAACGCATTCCTAACTAATTGACAAGGAGGCGGAGCATTCAGCGCATCGCGTACGGTACCCAGCAGGCGGCTGGCACATGCTATCGTTCATAAAGTCATACACCCTGAATGGATTGTAAAGTTCTGGGCAAGAACGTGATATCTTCGGAGTGAAGGAGCTTATGCGAAGAACCATTAGATGACTGGTTGTTTGATGCTGGTAGGTTTTGTAGCAATGCCAATACACCTAGATTACTTTTATAACATAGGTACTTGTTTAGATACTATCTAGCATTAGACAGCGCATGGTCTCAACCCGCTCATAAGTCAAAACCTTTTACGATGTAAATGTAACGAGAATTTAACAGGAGAGGAAGTCGCTAAGTCCCAATATAGCATGCATACTGCGAATGAATCAAGAATGCTTTACGATCGGATGTGTAGGCAGGCACTTCTTCATCTCCTTCATTACCACCATGATAAGATCGAATATGATTTTGAACATCCTCAAATCGTTGAAGTTACACAGAGTTAGGGAAAGTTAGCTTAAACTTCAAGAGATCGTGGTCGGTATAGAAAAGACATTCAAAACCTTCTTTAGTCTCTATCTACATAAAATAGCAATCATCAGAAAAGGAATAAGCTACTCAGGTCTTGCAGGGAGTTGTCTGATACCACCGTCATAAGGTCAAGTAGCGTACACCAATGAAACGAAACCAATGCCTTCATCAACATTTCATTTGCTCACTCTACAATGAATAAAGGGCGCCAAAGTCTTCAGTGCCAGTTTGGTGCCATGAACTAAAGTCTTCAGTAACAGTTTGATGCCATGAAAACCAAGTCCAGGAGGGAATGCGCGCTCTTACACCAATCACGGCTACCGCACGCGAACCGCTCGCGCAGCCAGCCCGGTAGAAATAGATGGCGCCCATTAGGTCGCCGAATTTGGAAGAGTCCCGCGCGGATTCCCTGCAGGAACGCATGTCCGCGCATGTACAAGGGTGCGTATTTGTCGCAAATGACCGCGGGGACCGCCCTTTTTCGGCGACCTAGTGTCCTCCACCCAGCTTGAGCTCATTGAATCACCGCGCTACCGGGATGACACGGAAGTCAAGAAAATCTAAACTCATCAATTTTTCATGACATACGGCAGACTGGTAGTCCTTGACATAAGAAAAAAGTTCCGCTAAAAAAGTACGGCGGCGTACCAAATTGTGCACTTATTCAAGAAATTCGTGAACAACTTCAGTGGTGTTGTATGTTCATGTTGGAAATATTCTAATGGATTGCAATAGTCCTCGCCCTCTTCAAGTAAAGTCTGGGCCAACCAAGTGTAGACATTCTGTCCCAATCCCAATGAGGCCAAAACTGGCAGACTGGAGATCGTATCGCGAGGGTTTTGCGCCACCTGCGTTAGCTTGTCTGCTCTCTTCAACCTCTTCGCTCTCTCCGACAGCGCGCGTATGCAGCGCAATCCCTTAAGGCTACGAGCGCGCAAATTTGAGTCAATGGCCCGGCCTTATCCTGACTGAGACAAACTGTACAAATACTGCTTTCTTGCCGTTCTCAACGCTCCGTACCACCGTACCGAAAGACCAGCTTCATTTCAGAGTTGCTATAAAATATATAAAAGACGCTCTGTTAAGCAAATTAACGCGTTGGTAAAGGGACAACACGACCCATCGGTGGGTCGCACTTTTTCAAAATTCTTACTCAAATGTTCATAGCCGAGCTTTGCGGATTCTAGCACTTGTTTGGAAAACGTTTTCTAAGATTCTTGAATAAACTCTACTATTCCAGACCATCCGATCCACAGATGTGTCATAGGTTCGACGTTGCAAAATAGCCCTGGTCCGAAATGGCAGAAATCAAAGAGAAGCTGATCATGAATATACTGAAAGAAGTATCCCCGCAGTCCTGGGCATGTGAGAGTTTCCATGCTAAGATTTAAAAACTGCAAAATAGAGTACCACGACAGAAAATACAGTGCCGTTAGGTGGCACACCGCCTCCATTTCAGAAATTAATTCACGCGCAAATGTTGTCAGTGAATGTCGGTAGAAATATATAGGCCAATAGATTTGACGGAAGGTATAGTGCAAGGGCACTATACCTTCCGTCAAATCTATTGGCCTATATATTTCTATATATGTGTTGATTAGATCATTTACATTGTCGGTTGAGTTGTGGTGTTTTATTGAAAGCTATCATCAGTTTCCGCATGAAAAAGACATGCGCCCAGATTTGCACGGACATCCACTCCGAGGTAGAAACTGGAAATTGGTAGCTAATTCACATGAATGGAAGGTTAAGTGAAGGAAATGGAGAGGTAGAAAATGAAATATTGTGTCTTACAGTGGCAATTTAGGTACGTAAGAAACGAAGGGAAGCTAGCGCCGCGCTGTTATGTGGCACCTTCCTATAGGCCGAACTTCAGCTATGCGGAACCTGTCGAACTGGCTTGACATGCATTCCAACTCAATAGATCTTTTGATTCGCACGTTTTTAGTTATGTTCAAAGTAATGGGAAGAATACCTGACATGGGCTGCGGTCTGCTCATACCAGGTGATTGCATCAAATTTTGAATGAATTTCTCCGAGAATATCAAAAACATTACGAGTGCAGAAGAAAGGAAAAAGATGTAGAACGACTTTCGAGAGATATTAGCAAACGAAGCAAATGTTAGGGGCGACTACTACAACCTAAATAACATTGCTTACGCAGCATCAAGTACATTAGTGCAATCTAAGGGGCGATTAGTCACAATTAGTGTAGCTGAGCAGTGAAAAATGCCGTGGAATGAACCATTTTGTACAAAGAGCCATAACTGATATTTATTTATTCAATTTCGAGCTAACCAAAAATATTACTACATGAAAAATGAAGGGAAATCGGCAGCAATCACTGAATAACGAGTAGCATAAGATAGGATGCCTCTACTATGTAGGTGAAAGTTTGTAATGATTCAATGAAAGGAAACAAAATGAAATTACAATTGAAATCGAGCTTGCACATATCTTCCAAAAAAAAACTACTAACAATAAAAGACAACAGTGCTAACAACAATAACAACAATGAACGACGTCATACGAATCGATATGATACCCTTTACGTATCCGTAGCTAATGCGTTGCTGCACGCGTTTTCCGCTTCTGCTTGTGACTCAGAACTTTCGGCGTGTACTCCGAAAAAGGCATTTCCTAAACAATGAATAGATGACTGTATATTTCTTAGACTTATTCGCATCACAGATAAAGAAAATCGGTAAAAACCGTTGAAGCTTCTTGACAAAAGAGTGTGTGCTATGCTACGTCAGCTACAGTCGACTAGATTTTCCGCCTGATTTAGTGTGCTGCGGTGAAAAAATGCGGTAAAATTTGTAGTGAACAAATAAGCTACTAAAGACTTGCATCTCGCGTATTGTTCGCCCGGAAGTAAGCTGAGGTTCGAGTAGATTTTTCGCTCAAAGGCAGTCGGGAAGATTGCGACTGCAAGCTTTCTACACCTTCTGCATGAGCTGAATCCAGTGCTGTGCTTTAAAAGTCAAAACGCGCTTTTTACGGCGTTTGTTAATGTTGGCGGGATGGCGGAATCCCTTGGCGGATTGGCAGGAATCCCCGCCCATCCCTCCAGCTATCTCCAGGGTAGGAAATACCCTAAAAAGCACTTTTGGCATTTCAAGCATAGCACTGGACTCCATCCAGAATTCCATGTAGGTGTGGAAAGCTCGCGGTGGCAATTTTCCCGAACCAGTGCCTTAGATACAGTGTGTTTGCGGTGACGAGAAATTGCGGTAAATTTTGCCAGTAATGCCGGCATTTTGCACGCCCAAATTGACGACAACCTTTAGAATCTCAAGAATTCACTAGGTTTAAGATTTACCTTGAATTTATAGATAGAAAGCATTACTACAAGATTTCGAAGAAAATTCGACGTGAGGCCAAACGAAAAAGCATAGCGACCCGATGTGCGCTCTAGACCTGTGTTCGGTCACTTCGCACATGAAAAACGTGCTCTAGTCGCCGTGACCGTAACGAAAGATGTAATACTGATTTTTAATCTATTGATGTATACTTTATAAGAAACCAAAAAAAAGCAGAAAGCGTAAGTACTTCGATTCTCATGCTTTTTAAGCCTGATCACCGAATTCCATTGGAGTATAACGAATTTTCACGAAGAACTGTGCAAAGGATATAAAAAAAGTTACCATTTCTAGTAAAAACATGCCTTGATAATTTCTGCCTGCCATTTCTTCGCATCTTCCTCTCTCAAACAATACATCTCAGCGATAGTGTTCCTACCATCATAACAGGTAAGTACCAGTATCTCATCCTCTCCGACAAGATTCACCTTTTTTAGAGCGTCCTGAAATTGTAATATCTATACTTGAATATAATTATGGATGAATTAGCTTGGTACTTACAATGTCAACCTTTCTAACCGGAGTGATCTTGTATATCTCCCCACTGACACCTCTGATGCTTATTACGAGAGTGATCCAGTCCGGATCAGGTTCAGCACCGACTGTTGAGCAGCTGTCTACGTTCGCGATGTCATACAGTGTCAATAAATGGATCAAATCAGATCCCCCATCGTACGAAGACTTGATGATGCGCTAGAATAAGCAATATGACGTGAGCACAAAGTAATAAAGTGACGAACCAATGGTACGCTGTCCATGACATTCACATTCACAGCACGGGAGACTCTGCCAAACCTTGTGCTAACCGATTCTCGGCGAGAAGGGCCGGTTATCCACCTGAACGATAGGTATACCTTGCCTACAAACTTAATGAGCAGAACTAACTGTCCATCCGTCTCTGATCGTCTCATCGGAAGAAGTGCAGTTCTCCATCGTACGCGAACTTCACTGTGCTTAGGATCCGATATCAAGCTAGAACCAAGAAGATTCAATTTTGTATTATAAACGAGTTCTGGTACTCAAAGGTGTTTTTATTTTATCTTTCGCAATCTGCTAAAATTTCAACAGATGAAAATCTGCTCTGTAGCAGGGTTTTGAAAATAATCAAGATTTATAGGAGAGTTCAAAAAATCGAGCAATTCACTCTGGAACAAGACGCAGTTCTGCAACTTGCCTGGAAACCTCGTAACATGCAAGATGAACCCCTTCAAACCGTAAAAAGTTTGATGAATCGTCTTTGCATAGCATCATTGTTGAGCAATCAATAGTTATTGCAACTCCTTGTTGAGGCCCAAGCAATCGCATATCATGCAAAAATGGCTAAATGTAATCCATTAAATAAATAAACAAAACCCATCAAGACCCTTACAGTTTCGTTAGTTGATATCTCATGTAATACATAGTCTTGGCGAAACGTTTGTGGTTCGCACAACACAACCTTACAGCATCCACCAAAATAAACACCAGAGAAATCCCCTGGAACGAGATCAAGATCTTGAGTGAAGCGAGTTTTGCCTCATATACCTTTTATATCTAAAAGCTTGTTCGGAGTTTTGTTCAACTTCACATTGAAGGCGACCGGTTCATTCTGACCAGAATCTGTCACTGGATCGTACACACGAATGCAGTGCTAAACAAAATATTCTACGACTAGCAGAAATAATTATTCTGTCAGCAAAAAATTTTTCTCACCTCGCGATAAATCTCATCAAAACTGTATAGTGCACAACTATGCGGTGAGGTATTGAAAGTTACTAATACATCATCTTCCAGTCCAGCAGCGTATACATTTTGAAAAAGCTATAAAAAACACCGTAATGGGGAAATACTAATCACACTTTGAAACAAGATAAACCCACGTTTTTATCAAGTTGAAGCAAAGCTTTGAATCGTGCGGGCTGGATTTCAAACACTGCTATGGAAGGGCTAGCTCCAGTGCGTTCGGAACCTGAAAGAGGGCATTTCGGTTGGTGACCTCAGCCGACGACGTTTTTTGAAGCAAATCCTCTCCAGATGAATGAAAAAGGGCCGATAGAAAAAAAGAAGAAATTCAAGACAACTACGCTGCGCCACAATAGACTGACCATTTTCGCATCCCGGCAACACAGCTCTCCCAAGCAACCACACTTCAGAATACGCTTTGTTCCAATGTATATGTCTAAATTGTAACGTGCATAGCGCAACTTAACATGGAGGAACTCACTTGAATTTGAAGCGCCGGATGGGTAATTGAAATGTATGGAGACACTCTCCTATACGCAAATCGCAAAAACGAAGGCGCCCTAGATTGGACAAGACAAGCAAGAGGGCAGTAGGCACTTGCCCATCCTAAAAGCGCAACATTGCATATCATCCATATCAAAATGCGGAAAAATGAATAAACAGCTAATTTGATACAAAAACATGCTTACTTGCAAATCGATCAAATCAAGCATAAACTTACCGCTCTTGGGGGTTGGCTCGAAATCACCAGCGTGCTAATTATTTTCTCTGTAAAATCTAATCCAGATATTGAAATAGTGTTGAGCGCATCCATCGCAACAAATTGATTTGACATCGGCATCACGAGACAACGGCTGAAGAGTCCCAAATCACTATAATACACAACATCTAAGAAAACTCACTCTGAGTAAGTAGCAAGCCCACGCACTCGAAAAGTCTCATAAGGCATATACTTCCTGGTAGCCTTCAAATGACACTTGCCAAAAATGACTATCGAAAAAGTTCAACAGCAGTGCTTGCCCGTACCGAACGGATAAGAGCTCGCACAATGTCATAATCAGAACGAGAAGAACCAGCCACACCGCCAATCTCCATTGCGGAAAGTGCCTTCACTATATGTACCGGCGACTGTCGATGTTTTGCATTCAGGTGAAACTTCTCTACGGATTCCATTAGATGGTGGGCGAACTAAAACTAAGGGCCATAATGCTGCAAAAATTCTTCAGAACAATCATCTGATTTGATCAACAAACAGATAGTAATAGAGGAAGTGATCTTTTCTGGAAATTAAACTAAGAATATGACTCTCGCTCTCATCTTCATTTCTGACAGCGTTACGCCCAGCAAACATGACCCAAAAGCTTGCGTATGCAAGCTGTCGATGGAACTATTGACCCTCAACATTTAAAAATACAAGTGCACCCACTATTCACACAGATATAAGTGCGCATGAGATACTCCAATAAACAGGTTACAAGTCTCATTGAGACAGGTGAAGATTTGTTTTTTTGTTTTTACGCGATTCAGGCACATCAACAAAAAAACATAACGACTGTTACATACATAACGAAGCCGAACTTTACGGTGACTTTTCAAATGCAAAAGGCAATATAACTGTCAAAAACATGCAGCAACCTTCATAATGCTTGAGAAACAAATCCGCACCTTTTCAGCTGTTGTTCCACTGAATGCTGCAGATGATGAGTGTGGCTGGTCCTCATCTCCGATCATCTGAAGCAATCCTAACCTACATCTCATTTCAAAGTAAGAATGCAAATGTACACAAATAACCAGAGAGCGACCAATCTCTTTGTTTCTGCTTTAATACACCGTAGAGATATAATTTATACAATGTCTCAACAACCATGCACACAATGATCACACAGGTACTTCAAATAACATATGATGATTATGAGCGGAGAACCAAACACATAGCGCCTAGCTAAAAGGCTCAAAGAAAGCCCGTGATGAGAATAGATTACAGCATAAGTAAAAAAAAAAGTTAGATGACGACATGATCAAACAGCGTATATCATCTCTGCGATATCTCTTGCAATATTCTTCCCCCGTTCATCAACAACAGCATCCTTGATCTTATTGACTATAGCCAACATATTGCGAGATTTCGCAAGCTGAAAAGGGAGGTATGGAAGATTGATCTTGGTGTGATGTCTTATCAACGCACATTGATGACAGTTGTATCGCCCCACATTAGGGTCACAATAGCTTGAAGCAAACGTATCATAGCACCTTCGCTGACAGATCCAAATGCTTGTAATCGTTCGTCACACAGCTTGAAAGGGTTCGAAGATTCTCAGAAAAGTAAATCTCAGAAAAATGTCAAAAGATCACCTTGATTATAGCGCGGATAGCATCCTCGCGTGGGCCCAACTCAGCAACCTTATCAGACTTATTTAAAAGATATAGGCTCCAGTTAGCAAGTGCCGACGCTGCTGCCAACTATAAACAAGTACGGACTGTTACATGAAATTGAAGCAGCAAATTCCACTTACTTGAAGTGCTGCTTTACTACTAGTCAACTGATTTGCCACTACTGTGAACAATGTCTGGAAGTCTTGTGAAAGCATCTCGCGTCCGCAGTCATGGACAAATGCATTTGCCATTGATCGACAAACAAGTATAGAAACAGCATCTGGGGGCTCACTCAAAAGGAGAGCAGATAACCGCTGCTGCGTATTGTTTCCTCGTCCCTGAAGACGAAATTTTCGGAAAAAAATATGACAGTTCATAATTTTAATGAAGAATAAAGACTCCAGAAAACGAAAATCCAGTAGGATAATAAAAATGGAAACTACCTTCATGTCGCAAAAGTAAGAATTCAGCTTTTCATCCAAAAGCGCCACTCGAAATACGTCGAGAATCGGGACTAGATCTCCCATGCTCCATTGTAATCCCGTTTCAAGTGCGGTAGTCAAAAGATCGTGATTGATGCTTCCACTGGGACCCGACATTAGACTGTGGATTGCTTCCAGCTAAAATTAAGAGAGCAACATTGATTGAAGAAAACCTACTTCTTTCTCTCGTACCTGTTGCTCACTCAGTTTCAAAGCTGTTTGCGTGTTGTTCACCTCTACAAGCTTCGCGAAGGCCTTAGTGCTCAGCTGCTCCACGCCAAAGCGATAATAAACAGACATAGGTACAAGTTCACCCCGAGGTCTCTTCTTATCTAACGGCAGACAAGCACTTGGGATAACGTCACCGGAAGCTGACCCTGGCTTGTAGCTAGAACATATTTTCACTAGTAACGAGATTTTACACATACCGAGAGAGCTGATATCAAAACAAACAAAGAAAAAATAGATAAGCAAAGAAAAACATTATGACGGATCACAAAGAACTCACCCTCCTGAGCTAGTGAGAGGGTCTCCGCCTACGTCCACTGCGGAATCTCCGTAGGAGTTTCCTGGGATATACCGTCCGCTGCCGGTGAGAGGATCTAGATTGCCATTTGTAGAAACAGCAGGCTTCTCGCCGGGAACGTACCGTCCAACACCTGAAAACTATTGTCTTCATCATTTTATTCAAAGCTATTCCATGGTTCCAGGCATGAGCTAATAATGTATAGGGAGAAACTAGACTACTTAATCAATTCTATGCTACTCAAAAGTCTACTTTTTCCATGAAGACTTTCGTCTCTAGGTCTTTTCTTCAAAACCTATCGCTTTCAAGAGATTTCAAGTGGGTCAAACATGTTGAAGGTATGAAGAAGAGAAGGATCGAGGTATAGAACACGGGGCGCAAACAGTGAAAGCAAACTGCCACTTTTGTTGAAACAATAGAAGCATGTGAACATATATGTAGACTATCAAGTATGAGGAGACAACAGATGGAAACTGACCAGTAAACGGATCATAAAATGTGGTAGAACGACTATTTGAGCTGACACCTGTTTGAGATCTAAGCAATCCTGATACCTGAAGAGAAACGTTATGCAGTCTAGCTGCTTTTTCACGACAATTACCTTTGCTAGAAATGAAATAGGCAGATTATGCTTTTCAACAAATCGCTGAGCAGCAACATCTGGATCTTCGTCCAAGTTGTAAGGAAGTCGTAGTTTTCTTCCATCATCAATAGTTACATCGAAGGCGAAATCGTACTCCTGCAACGAACATTCAAAACTCTTCAAAAAACTACATATCCTTGGAAATTGTAGCTTATACCTTTCCATCCACAACAACACGCTGTGTTGGTTGCACTTTATGCTGTTTCAGAGCAGCTGCAGCAGCTTCTGGAACATGAGCCTTGATGTAGTCCACTATTTCATTCAAATAAGACGCAGGAAGATTGTAATCCTCAAAAGAAAAAAAGTCTTGGAAAGTTATATGCAAAAAAACACAAAAAATAACATTTTATGGAAAAAGACAGACCTGTATGAACTTTTCTGCTGCTATGGCTGGATCAGTCCCTTTCTTGTAGCGAAGCTCCATATTTGGAGCGCTATCGTCCAACGACACTTTGATTACAACAGTTTCGCTAGCCTAGATATTCACTTCTATTCATGAAAAACTTTGTTAAATGTGCTTGTCTTACTTGACGTTCCTTCCTTTCTAATTCTTTCGCTACCTTAGCTGCTATAGCATCAGCAACGGCAGACGCAATAGCTTCTGGAGCTGCTCGACTCTTCTCTTGCGTGAATGTGTATATTTTTCCATCACTATAAACAGACGCACATGCCTCCTGATACATGATAATTACTGCACCTCAACAGATTCGCAGCAGCTTCTAAGATTTTTGACGATATCAAGAATTTGTAAGGATAGCGAAGAAAATGTTAAGTCAAAAACATCAAAAAAATCGTGGACAACAAAACGCAGAAATGAACATTGATACCGCTTGATGAACACACAGATGAACAAAAAATAAAGCTAACCTAGCAGCGCAAGCAATGTCGCCGTTTGGTAAGCCTTTGACAGCCCACAGAGTAAGCGCAGGGGATTGAATTAGCTGAGTGTGCGAAAGACTGAAAACGTTGAGAAGTTAACAAAAAACCTACAATTAATTTCGACATTCAGACATTCTAGAAACGAGTGTTTACCTTGGCTGGTCGTCGACAGTAGATTGTTTCCAAACCTCTACATATCCACCTTCGCTGCACGAGATCACATGTGAATCGACGAGAGCCAAGCTAAAACAGATGTGAACTGTTGAAATTGTATGACAACATAGCTGTGTTCAACTGGAGCATTCATCCTACCTGAAGATGAATTCATCCACTAATGACGAGAATTTCGCTATGCAAACACCAGTCTCAGTGTGCCAAAGTCTGATGGTGGAGTCGTTTGCAGCGGACAGAAATTTATCATTAGATATGACTAGCAATGCTCGTACAACATCGGTGTGACCTGGAAAGCTCAAACAATTCTATGTTCACAATACATTCTATAAAATAGTAGAATGCATATTTGTAAAACAGTTCAAAACATGCAAGGTTGAGAATCAAAAGAAAACCAAAGTTCAAACAGTGGGAAACGTTTAAAGTTGGATATAGGCAACTCATTAGCAACTAATTTACAAAAACTAACCCGTGAAGGTCCTAATCTCGTTGTCGTCTTGCCACAGTTTGATGGTTTTGTCAGCGCTTCCTGAGAGGTAATGTCCTGGAGATGATTCTATGGCGGCTAATGCCCATACTGACAGCTTATGCCCATTTAGTAGCAGTGCCTAAACATCGAAGAGATCATGACTTCATGTGTTGCAAACCCGGATAATCCAGATATTTACGTGGAGAACCATGCAACCCCGCAAAATGTAATGGGGAAAAATCGTACCGGAAATTCAGGTGATCCCAATTCTCTTATCGGCCATACAATAACGTTATTATCCCACGACCCACTCAGTAATATATGATTCTTCTCATCGACATATAGACAGCACACTAAATGAGGAAAGAAACGTACGCTTCGAATACATAACGGACTTATAAAGTTTCGCCTACTCACCGTTTGACGAATGTTGTGTTAATACGGTCAAGGGTTCTGGAGATCCGGAGCCATATACAGCTATTGAACCATCTTTTCTGCCAGCAAACACCCGCCATCCATCAGGTGACTCATAATATCCTATTGAATTCACAGCTAAGCCCTTTGGCTGAGGAAAAGCTAGCGTTTCGGAGAATTCTCCTCCTCTGAAACGACAACATCGAGAAAATCACTACATGACTGATAGAAGTCACTGCAGACCAATGCTTAATTAAAGCAAATTCCAGTCTTTACAGAGGTGAGAGGAACAGAAAGTTTTGGAAAGACCACAAAAACTTCAGTTTACATGAAAAAAAAACTGTACGAATTTACCTTTTCGTCCAGAATTTCACAACTTCATCGCGACCACCGGAGATTATCACTCCTGCTGAAGTGGATGTGAGACATTTCACATCGGTTTTATGAGCATCGATCACGCGACTGAGATGGAACTCCTCCTCATCAGCATCTTTCATCTCAACGTCACTCATCGACGCTGAAACTGAATCATGATGTCCTGCTGTTTACCTGATACTTATAACTTATAGAAGATATGCAACACATGTCGCACTGTAGTAGTAGTTTAAAATGCAAAAAGAGAACTGGGATGACAAATTGCTGCATTCGAAAAATACGAGTACGAAAAAGTGGTACCGAGAGTGTCTTTGCGGAGTGCACCGGATTTCACGACAAATCTGCCCGAATCCACCGCGGACGGAGCACCACGCTTCTCATTCACTAAAAACTTCACAGACAAGTCCCTTTTGCATCTGGACACACCAACAGGCCGATTGCTTCTTCTACTATTCAGTCGATGTAATAGGAAGACTTGCTGTCTATGATATGGAAAGGCCTGTCGAAGTGCAGATAAAAGAGGTGGATATTTTAGCACTCAAGATTACTAGCCACCTTATGGTCCCTTTTTCTCAACCGATTTTTCTCCATGAGGGTTATGGTTCAAAGACAAGTGTTTATTCAATTAGAAGATGGATTACTCATCATTTTCTTCCCCCTGGCCTAGGGCCCGTATGCACGTACATACATCCCCGCGGGGAGGGGAGGGGATCTGAGAGGGGAAGCGTCATATTTCGCCACTCTGTATATCTTTCGTCTTCCTTCTTTATCTGTGATATGAAGGTTCTCATACCGTAGTACCTGCGAATAATGGATGCCAGGTTATTGCCATACAAGATTAGATTTTCACAACTTTGCGTGATCCCCTGGGGCCCCAGGGGATCACCTCTAATTTTCAACGTCATTTATCTTCCTACAAACTCAATGAAAATGTTCTAAATTTGTGCTGAGGGTATAATATGGTACTGCTAAACATGTCTATAGTAGAAATAAGGGATATCTCAGGATATCGAAATTTTTGATGAACCGCTGCTCGCGAGCCAGGGATTATTGAAAAATTGATAATCTTCAGGTTCCATTTCTTCTATCAAAAACATGCTTAGCAGTGGTGTTATCCTCAGTACAATTTTAGAGCATTTTCATTGAGTTTTCAGAGAGATAAATGACTCTGAAAATGTGAGGCAATCCCCTGGGGATCCCCAGGGGATCAGACGAAATAGTGAAAATCTAATCTTGTATGGCAATAACCTTGCATCCGTTATGCGCAGGTATTAGGATATGAGAATCTTCATATCACAGATAAAGAAGAAAGACGAAAGACATACAGAGTAGCGAAATATGACGCTTCCCCTCTGAGATCCCCTCCCCTCCCCGCGGGGATGTACGTGCATACGGGCCTTAACTCTTCAAATGCGCTATCTGGGCAAGTATAGTCCAGCAGGTCTGAAGCTTGATTAAAAGCAACTGCGGCGATAACAACATTTGCGCGGAAACAAATGTAGTGCTTGCTTGCGCGTAAGAAATTGCTTTAGAGCGCACAAACGTAATCGATCACGCGCAGCTATTGTCGGCTACGCAAGCACACCATGTTGAAGTCAAGTCTACTCGACAAGACTATAAATGACCAGTTATAGGCAGAATGTATCGGAAGCGAACTCGAGAAGGAACTGGAAGCGAAACGACAGGAACTAGCAGAATTGTCTGCTGAACATGATGAATTGACCAAGAAAGAAGAGGATTACAATGCCCTTCTCGCTCGCTTCGATCCTTCGTAAGTATCACCCTTCCAATCATTTGCTCTTCAGCTATTTACAGAGAAATAGAGGAAGCAAAAGCTCTACTTGAAGAGTATAGTAATGTGAGAGAACGAGAAAAGAACTTGAAATCATCTTCGAAAGCTCAGTTGGCCAAACTGGTCGAAGAAATTCAAGCGATTGAGGATATGGGTGGTCAAGCGGTGGGTTTTGGTGCCTCAACTCATTGTATTTTTATTTCCCGTATTTTTGTCTTCTTTGTTTGTAGGAAGAACTGCTTGACCCTCTCAAAAATTTTCTCTCCGTTCTTCCAAATCATTACCACATTTTAAGAGTCAACATGAACTACAAGAGAGTGAGGAGACCTTAGCACAAGAGCGCCTACGTTTGGCAGAAGTATGTTTGTCTATTATATCACCATATCCTTACACCTTCATACATTCCAGGTTGTTCAACGTGTTGCAGCTCTACAGAGTGAGCTAGATAACGTTCCTTCACAGACTGAAATGTTCCAGTATCAACAGCGATTCATAGAGTTATACATGCAGAGTTAGTTGTTGTTCGATTCTTCTATGTATACTTCCTATTTTTGATTTTCTTTGCTGTTTCCAGTGGGTAGCAAGCACAGGCAAGCTCGACAGTATGTGACACTTTACAATACACTTGTTGATGTACGAAATTTTATCAAGAAAGACATAGAGCTACTCTCGAAAATTGAAGATGTTCTGCCTATGTGAGTTTTTCCTCGTAAATTGCTAAATTTTTTTATGAAATTTACATATTAGGGCCACTCAAGCAGCGTATCGAGATTCTTTCATAAGTAATTTGAACGATATTTTACATGTCATTACTGCTGCTCAGAAGAAGGTGAGTTGTGCGAGTATTTACCCACACACTGCACCGTACTCGTTTCATAGGTGGTAGATCGTACGACATCGCTTTCATCTGAGAAAGCACGATTGACGTCAGAATACAACGAACTGAAAGAGCGTAGTCGGAAATTCAATTACCTTGTCACCAAACTTCGAGCTGTGAGTTTCACATGTTCTTGATTTAATCTCACCTTTATCTTTGCCATACAAATACTGAGGCCTAACCACGGGCCCATTTGCAGGTAGAGGGCACAGCGAGATTTATAGGGTGGAGGAACGAACAACTCAATTAGGCACCGCCTCCGCGAACTACTGTAGTAACACGATGCACAACAGTAGGACGAAAGGAGCAGCCGCCCACCGAGGCGGTGCCTAATTGGGGTGTTCGTTCCTCTGTCTAGACTTATATGCCTCGCTCGCTGCCGCGCTTATTTTGATGCAGGCTGGTTCACATATCCTGTCTCATTAGGCACCAGGATAATCACTTGGCTGCTGTCCAGTCTCACAGGGAATTGATCAACAGCCAAGTGATTACCTAAGTCACCCTCCTCTATTGCAGAAAGGACTGAAAGTATGCAATCAAAAAGTTTGATAGATGGTGCGGTTGATTTTTCTGACAATACGTTATGCGCTGTGTGTCTGTTGTAAGAGTCAGTGAATCTGATGCAAAAATCATGCCTATAAAGAAAATTGCCAATCTTCTGCTCCCTACTCATTTTCGTCGGGTCTCTCCCGCTGGCTTTAGGCGCGCAAATGCAACGCAAAACTCTAGCCCGATCGTTCGCCATCATTTTGGCTCCTTGCCGATTGGAACAAAAATCTATCTTATAAACACTGGCAACTTGCTTAGGAGCCGCCATTGCGATGTCGAATCACTTGAAGTGAAGAAGGAGTTTTTGCACGGAACGTCATATGCAGCTCGCAAACGCGAGCATCTCATAGTTTTCCCACATAAATCCCAAAACAACTCACGCCTCTGACGCGTGATACGTAAGCATAAAAGTTGGGTGCTTACGACAAGGCAAGCAAGGCTTAGAGGCATGCGCAGCGATATTCGTTTTGAATATTGCGAGAGGCACTACATGCGCTATTCGGTCAAGGTATTATATCAAACGCTAGCGGAGAACATTTTCTCTCCACTCCTTGAGCGGTACTCCACTGTAAGGGAATCGATTCTTGTTCAAGTATAGAGCAATTCTTCTGACTGAGTGTTACGAGCTCTGTATGTTCCTCTCGTGTATTGAATGCGACTTTTAAAGGAAATATTCGAAGTCTCGGCTAAGTCAATGGAATGAGACTGTAATATAAATCGCAGTGTAGACTTATGAGTCGAAAGAAGCCCTTTTTTACAACGTTGTCTTGAGTTCGTGCCGTTCTTCTTTGCTAAGGCGTAAACTGAAATTTTCAAGCTATCGTGAATGGGTAGCTGTGCATGATCATCTAGACGCATATGTCGGAGAAAAGTCTAGTGTGCTTGTTTTGATAACCGGGAAGTCCAAAAGCGCAGAATTCTCCCTATTTCTTAGCTCGAACGATCGCATTTTTTTACTTGCTTATCAAGTTTTTCAGGAAATGTTTTTCAGGAATGCGAAAAGAACGAAAGATTGCAAAGGGAGCTGTCGAAAAGGGACAACTAATGATATATACATTGTTCTATACACATTGTGATATGTTTCGTGATTTATCGAATAAACATTAGAAAGTACGGCGAAAAGATAATAAACATTAGAAAATGTGGCAAAGATCATAAAACTTTGCCAAATATTTGACGATGGTCAAGTTTGAAAATACTACGTAAATTGTGTGATAGGTTGCACCTAAAGCACTGTTAAGTTGAATTTTATTCGCATAGGAAAGGCGCAGTGAACATCTCTTATCTTGTATGGTTTCGTAATGAAATCTGCTTGAATATTATTCAAAGATGCAAAGATCGAAATATTTCCTCATACTGAACAGCTGAAAACAGACATCTAAACTGTCGAGCAGGTGAAAGCTGGAACTTTTTTGATGACGATAAAACTTACTACAGCATAAATCACAAAATCAGTTTTTTCTTCGTATTGGAGTTGTCCAGGTATATACTCAAGTTTGACGATCTTTATACCATGACGACCATCCAGAAAGGAGAATTATGCACTTTGCAAAGCACAAATACTTCTCCATTTCTGATAATGAGGTTCAGTAGGAGCGCATATTAGCCGACAATTATAGCAACGAGGCTGCTTCACCTCATAAAATCTTATTCAGCAAGTGCATTGCAAAACGTCATCTTGTGGCAATTTATAGAAAGTCATTAGCAATGGACAATGTAATTTTCTCAGCAAGTTGGCTATAAGAGGAATATTGGTCACGCTGTTGCAGTGCTCCTTTGCTGCAATAGGCAGGTGCCAGCTTATCCTTTTAGCAGGATTTTACTTTAGGCGCTCTGCTATTGGTCACATTAATTAATTGTCCAACAGTGAAGCGCCTGAAGTAGATAAAGCGGGTAAGTCTGGCGCCTGCCTAAATTTCCGCCTTCGTCCTGGGCTAGCCTTTATATATCTTGACAAAACATATATTGCATTGTCCTCTACAAATTCTAACACACACGCAATATTTCAGCAAGGCACTTGAAAGAATTGTGCAGTTGCACTACAATGCACAAATTTTTTGTTGATAGGAGTAGGCAACTCATCGGACGCAGAGACTGGACGCCGTTCCCAGTGATAGTGTGTGTGGGAGAGAGACATCAGACGGCTAAAGAAATGAGAGTGCATTTGTCTGAGAGACGCCGACAGCGTCCGCAGTGGCGCCTGTTTCTGCGTGCGTTGAATCGCCTATAACGCGTTAGTAATCTAAGAACTATTGCGTGAATTCGTGAACCGGCTCACGATCGAATCAGTTCAAGAATTACCATTTCTTGTGACAAATCCACTGTATAGATTGCCTTATTCTGTTCCCAAGAACTTCGCTTTTTGTACTTGTAGAGGGGAAAAGACTACGATAAACTGACAATTTCCACAATTCTTCACGTAATTGCTTCCCTTCGATTTTCTCAGTAAAGAGGAGGAAACAGCAGGTGCAAAGGGAAATTAAGTCCAAATGTTGTCACGGGTTTCAGTCATTAGAAATTTCGCACCGCAACGAATGCTAATTGCCATATATGCTTATGCACAGAGGCGACTTTGTTACCATGGCTTCTCTCTTGGTCAGCTAATGCGGACTTCTCTCTATTTCATTCTCGCCCTCTCTTTATCTCTCCTTTTTCTCTCTCTCAATCTTTGGATCTTGCTTCTAGGCTTGCGAACTAAACTTTTTCAACAGAAATAAATAACAATTCGAAAAATCTAAGAAAATGGTCTAGATGTGCTAACACATTATGCATGACACCTTTCACTTGTAAATTATCAAGATAATTTTTTAAATTGCAAAAAAAAACTGAGTTTGGCATGTAGAAAATAAGACAAAACTCCTTCAAAAAATTTCGAGCCCCCCCCCCCTCCGCCAGAGGATTTTCTCTTTTCGACAATGGTAGGATTCTCGAATTACCGCCGAGAGAAGAAATATTCCCTATCGAAATATATATTATGCAAACTTCTCTTGCCATGTAGAAAATAGGCTAGAATCCTTCCATGAAAGTTTCTGTCCCCCCGACAAAAAAATTTTTTTTTCTGACAATGGTACGATTCATTCTCGAAACTTCATCGAGGGAAGGAAAATATTCCCTGTCAACCATTTGATAGGTCACACTATTTCATCTAAAAAATGGAAATGAGGGGACGAAGTTTCTTAATATCTTTTGGCGCAAATAAATGTCAGGCAAAATTGCAGACAAAGCTTTTCTCAAGGCGGAAATCTTTCAACTCTTCCTTCTTCATACAAGAAAAAATCGTGTTACATAACTGATTATGCTTGGTAAGGTTACCTCATTGCACGATGTTATGCTTATTGAGCATAAATAGTTATGTGACCATTTTTTTCTTGAAGGAAAATTAGCATTCATCATTAAAATGCTACCCTAATCCCCGAAAAACTATGCAAGACTTGACAAGAGGAAGTGATTTGTCTACATTCAAACTGCAAATATTTATCTGTGATGCCTTTGCCACAAATGTCTTAATTATTTTAAAACGATCCATATACATTTTAGATTCTTTTTCGAAAATCATATCACTTCATATCTAGCCTACTTGTCAAAATATTTTTTTTCCTTCAGCAATAAATCTAATCACCATAAATTACGGAAATAACAGCTTGTTTCGCATCAGACATCGACTGGGGGAAGATCGTAAACCTCGTTGTTTTACCAGTACTAAATATGCGGAATCAAAGCTTCAGGTTATTTTCTGAAACACGAAAATTTCTGCGATCACTGCTCTGCCATTCTTTCTCACGGGTGGAGGAACGAAATCTGCCAATTTGGGCCTTCCGCGGACTACTGGTCCTGCTCGACATGCAACGTTGCAAAAGGACCAGTTGTCAGCGGAGGCGGCTCAAAACTGACGAATTTTGTTTTGCAACCCCTTTCTTATCGTTCTAATATGTATTTCGATTTAAAAGCAAAGTTGGTCACCCGTAATTTGTACGATGTACCCTTTGATTCAACTGGCTTGGCATCTGGGCGGCGTGGCTTCGTGACCTAACTCGAAACCGCTTTGTACATATTGTCAAAACAAGCTTGAGTGTTGTTAACAAGGTTACTCTTTATATTTTTATTTTTATTATTCTCGTAATCTATCTAACCTGAACCGGGAATCATTTGCAACTTTGAAACAGAAAAAAAAACAAGTTCCGGCTTATTTAGACCAGGGCTCGGCATGAGCTGACATCAGGGAAATTTCAAATCGAAGTCCCGTTTGATCTTGAATTTTCGTACGAAATCCCCTTTGATCTGTTTTGAAGACCCGTCATTATTTTTGGATTATATGAAAGTAAGTAGTAGGGTTTTCATGCATGCTGATCTCATGGAATAACTTTTCACAGTCTGAGCTTCTTAAGTAACTGAATCTCATCTTGAGAAGCGGAAAAAGCCGATTTTTCGACCGCGGAGCAGACCGAGTAATTTTGAGATGGCTATAAAAAGCTGAAAAGAAAACATTATGAAACTGTTTCCTCTCTGTATGTAAACTTTTATAGTGAAGATATGAAGATATAGATACATTTTGTGTAAAAAAAGTATGAAAACTTATGTGAGCAAAGTGTCGGTGCCAGCTCAGCTGGCGCCCAGCTGGCACGGTGCCAGCTAATTTAAAAAAAAGTTCAGCATAGCTTTCATTCACATAAGTTTTCATAAATTTTTGAGTTATAGTTCGGGTCCCTCAACGCGCATGCACACACCAAATTTGGTGTCATAGTATTGCGATTTGGCTGAAAACAACGCCTTTGTTTGTTTGATGGACAGCATGCCGCTGGCATGCCGGCGGCATTCTTGCGGCTTTTCACCGCCCCGGACGCGGAGGAACGAAATCCTCTTTGCTTTCCGCGCTAAAAACGATATCCAGCTTGACCCGGTGCCAGCTGTGCCGAGCCTTGATTTAGACAATGTGTTCAAAGCGGTTTCGAGTCTCTTAGTTAGTCACAGAACGAAAAATATATATAAATTATTCCTACTGTTAAAGGCAGCGTCCGGGCAAAACCTCGACTTCCATGTTTCTAGCGTTTCTTGCTTTTTCGACGCCCCTGAATCTAAATCCGAACCGAGAATTGCTTGAAATATCCAAAACCCCCGTTTCTGGAACCCTATTTCAATAATCGCGGACGAGTGTTCCGAAACTTATCTGGTGTAGTGACACGTGAAAACATGTGTCAAAGGTAGAAACACTGCGTGTAACGACACGTCAAAGGGGCGCGTCAAACATGTAAGCTCGTCTTCGTAGCCGTAAGGGAAGCGGAAGGAGGAAGGGGAGCGGCACCTGACCCGCCCACCTGACTTTCAGAATTCACATTTTCGGGGCGGACTTGCTGTTTTGTCTTAGTTGAGGGGGACCCTGTCGAAATGTGACAGCATCTGAGGTAGGTCAATTTTGCCCGGACGCTGCCTTTAAAGTATCGTTAGTTCGCTTTCGCTAGAGTGGGCGGACCACTGCAGACATGGCATGACATGTTATCGATCGATAAACCTCCATCCTAGAGCATTGTTTTTCGTACTCTCTCGCCATCAAAAGCCGCCGCGCGTGTACGTAGACAGTGCTCCGCCCACTCTAGCGAAAGCGAACTAACGATAAAAGAACATGAGAACTCTTTGCACACACTTAAAAAGCTCAAACCTGTTCCTACTTGGCTTCGAGAGTAAACGATCCTATATGAAGTCGATTACAAGTCTGAACTCGTCAACCACACGATCAAACTTGTTTTATCAATGTGTGCAAAACCTACACAAGTCTCTTATCTCACATTCAGAATGAATAATTTTGTAACTCGCACGACTCTGCGTATGCAGCATTCTTTGCTTAAATCGTCAGTCTAGACAAGTAATGATTTTGTATATGAGAAAAAAGCAAGATACAATAAGGAGGTGGAACAATAAACAAATTTTTTCACAAAGCTTTAATAACGCTTTGGAACTGATCTGTGATGTCTTGTTGTTAGCTATCGTTGTGGAAAATAATATAGAAGACGTTTTTGATTTCGTAAACTATTCTCATACGAAGTGAGTTTACCTAACGAAGCATAAAGCATCAAATAGGAATTTGTAGCGGAATAACTGTGGCTTTTGCAAGTTGCACATTTGCAAATTTCAATAGCTACTTCATTACTCTAA